CAACGCGAGGCGCAGCAAGGGGAGAGACGGCCGGTGGCGGCTAGGGCGGCAGGGGCGCGGAAGGGGGGAGGCGAGACGGGGAGGGGCGCCATATGGGCACGGAAGCAGCACATGCACGCTTTGGTCGGCGCGGCCTCCCGCGCAGCGTCGCGGCATAGAGGCCGGGAGGCGGAGCAAACGCGCGCGCGGCCGGCACACTCGGAGGCCAGGGGCAGGGAGCCACCCGAGGGGATCGGCCGTGCCATGCGCACACCTTGGCGGGGGCTGCGGGGGGAGGACGAGGGAAAGCGAGGTGGTGCCGAAAGGCCAGTACCGTCAGTACGAACGCGACACGGCGAGGCGCAGTGTTCCCAGGCAGGACCGCAAGGGGTGAGTGGCAAGGAAGGACAGGCCAGACGCAGCAGCAAAGACGGCACACACACACACACACACACATTCACACTTTTTGGTCGTCCGCGGGCGGGCGCAGCGCCATGCCGTCCAAAGAAGTCGGCTGCGCGCGCGCGCGCCGGAAAAGAAGGCAAGGAAAAGGCCAGCCTGCACTGAGCGCATTACGGAGGGCCTCGAGGTTATGAGGTGAGGCGCTGGCCCCGCCCGGGTTGGCGTCAAAGCCCAGGGCCGGTGGGGAGTGCGCGGTCAGCCGCCGCCCAGGGCTCGAGGGCCGGCGCGGCAGCGCTCGCTTCAGGCCACGGGCGGGTGTGCCGAGGGGCGGAGCCGCCCCAGCCCGAGGCCCAGTCCGTGGCGCGGCCGCGGCTGGCCCAGTCGTGCCCGGCCTGGGGGGGGCCCCCCCCCACGAGGACCACCAGCTAGCGTCCCAGCAGTAGAGGAGGCGGGCGGTGGCTGGGCAGGGCCGCCGCCGTGGCCCGCAGCCTGGGAGTCGCGGTGGGGGGGGCTGGGGCGCTGGGCGCGGGTTTGTAGGCGGTTCGGGCAGCAGGACATGGCCGAGGTTCCGTGTGTCCGAGGCCTGCGGGTTCTGGTCGGCGAGCTCCAGCGACGGGGGCCGTCTGGGATACCAAGAGGGGGACAGGGGCCTGCCGCCCCGTGCGCTGGGCGGGGGGCTGCGACTGGTCTGCAGCCGCGGTGGCGGGTCTAGGGCTGCGACGTGGTAAGCCGAGGCCTCCAGGGCGGCGCTGATCCAACCCTTGGCAGCAAGGCGGCGATCGTCGAGGCAGGACAGGCGCCAGTCGTCTGGGGTACGGCTCTCGTCCGAAGCTTTGCAGAAGGTCCTCGTGATCGGTACTGGCACCAGCCGAGTGTCGTGGCCGAGGGCGTGGCCAGCTGCGTCCAAGAAAGCGATCCAATCGTTGGTGCCCGCCACGCCTGCGCGCAGCGAAGCCAGCCCTCTAGTTCAGCAGGCGATCCCGTAGGCCTTCGGATCAGGGGGCCAGCGTGGCGGGACGCAAAGCCCAGGGAGCGTCGTTGCCGGGGAGTCAGGTGATCCGTAGGCCTCATTCAGGAAGCGTAGCAGAGACATGGGGGGCGCTTCTGTGGGGCGTGGGAGGTGACGCTGGAGCGTGCGACGAACGCACTTCTGGGCCTCGCAGCCTCCGAGCTGTCGATACATTCGTGCTCGAGGGCGCTCTCAGGGAGCACGATCAAGAGGGACGTCTTGCCCGACGGGGCACTTCCAGCCAACCTTCTCCAGGGCGTTGCGCCTGTCCTGCATGCCTCTCGAGAGGCCGTCAACCGGCTGGCCCCGTCGGCGCTGCAGGCTCGTGGGCGCTGACGGGAGGGACGGGATACGCCGCGGGCTCCGACGCAGAGCCAGGGCGGAGGGGGGCCATGTCCCGGGCAGGGGCTGAGCCTGGCGCCGCGGGCCGGCCACAGAACGGAGGCGGGTGCCGCGTCCCGGCCCTGCGCCGCGGGCTGCTGGGGCAGGCTTCTCTGGAAGGCCTCGAGATTGACACTAACACCAGTATCGGCGATGTGCCTCCACCGAAGGAGGAAGATGAACCAACTCTCGGTGATTGTGGTAACGTTCGGGCTGCGAGGCAGCCGAAATATTACCACCAACGCCCAAATCTCGGATCATCCCCCCCGGCGGAGACAACTTCCTGTTTTGGTGTTGGTGCCCACTCCCATGCCTTCAATTATCGGTCACGTTGGCACTGGTGGCCGCCAGGACGGCCGCCGCCGAGGACACGCCAGCCTGAGCGGCCAGGCGGGAGGCCGCGCCCGCCATTGACATTGCCACGGCGGGTTCCTGGTAGGTGAGACCGATTGTGCGTGATGCCCAGGAGCTGGGGCAGAGCGCCCCGGGGGGGTGGTGCGGGAGCACATGCGGCGGAGTTGAGCTGGTGTGCGGGGCGCAGCCATCCTCGGCGGCGGGCTGCCCGCTCGACGCGCTGGCTGGGGCTCCTGGGAGGCGAGGGCGCTTGGGTAGGGGCATCGCCATGCCAGGAGGCAAGTGAGCCGTCATGTGGGGCGGCCGCTGGTAGCCGCGGGAGACGATCTCTGCGGCACGTACACGAGTTAAGGGCCGCCCTGACCTCGTCGGGGCTGAGGCGCCAGAGCTCTGCGCATCAGCCGGTGCTTGCCCAGCTGAGATTGTGGCGTCCCTCCTTCCATGCGGCAGCCAGCAGCTGAGTCCACCGAGGGAGACCGTTGATGAGCGTGAAGTCGCGTCCAGGGCCCCGTGGAGCACGAGAGGGTCCACGGGCACGCCAACCGCCGCCAATGAGCGGGGAGCAGGAGCCCCATGAACGCCGATCGTGCAGAAGCCGCACCCGAAGGTGACGGGTCCTCGGAGCGCCTCGCACTTGTTGTCGAAGGAAGGGCGTGATGGGGAGCGGTGCATGGGTCGGATTCGGGTCCTCGTCCGCGAGCATGGCGACGAGCAGCTGACGCAGGCCCGAGGGGAGCACTTCCCGGCCGCCGGGCCCTGTGAGGCGGCGGGTGACCCGGGAGCCATCGATCTTCGAGATCGCTGTGCCCAGCCTCTTGGGTGAGGGGGGGGCGTCAGGCCAGGGGCTTCCGACTGAGGTGGCTGGTCGTCCAGGTCTTGATCGCCTGTCGGGAGGAGCCCTGCGCACGAGCGGCACGGCCACGCCGCAGAGCATGCGCCGCTCGGGCGGACCCGGCGCTCGGCCGAGGCGACGACCTTGCGGGATGCCGCGGGAGCCCAGCGCCCTGCGGGCCTGCCGCGCTCGTCTGCAGAGCCGAGGCAGGCCCTGCACGCATCGCGCTGGCAGGTGGTGCGGGTCGGCTGGAAGCGGTTGTCGGAGAGGCAGCGTGGGAGGTCTTTGATGGTAAGGCCCCGCCCTGTAGCTTTCGGCTGGGAATGAAACTCGTCCTCCCCCTCCTCGTCCGTCCCCTCGTCCTCCACCCTCGGCCTCCTCCCCTTTGTCTCCCCGGGTGGGCGAATGGGGAGACCATTGACAGGCCCCTGGGGAGGGAGAGTACGATGTGCGGAATGCCCATGCGGTCCGTGAACATCCATGGAACGGCGAGCGGATCGTCTGGGGCCACGGTCGCGGGGGGCTGCGCAGCGACGCATGCACACACACACACACACACGCGCGCGCGCGCGCTCTCACACACACACACACACACACACACAAACACACACACACACACGCACACACACACACGCACACACACACACGCGCGCACACACGCACACGCACACACGCACACGCACACGCACACGCACACGCACACGCACACGCACACAACGGACACCCAGTCTGTCGCGCAACGACGGAAATTTGGCGTCCAGCTGCAAATCGTTTTGCAACTTACGGGCGGTGCGACAAACGGTGGCGGGATGGGCCGGCGCAGAGCGCCAAGATGCGCACATTGCTGCCGCTTGTCCAAGGATGCCGGCGCCCGTTCGCGCTTGTTGCGCGATATCTAGGATCTAGGCCTCCCAGTTGGGGTCGGAGTAGATGGAGTCGGAGGATCGCGCCGCATAGCCGATGCATCTTCGACGCGGCTCGATATGGAGCCCGGCTTTCTCCACGCCGACGGCGCGGGTACATCGCCGACGTCACCGATGCATCTCCGATGCACCCGACCCCATCTATTCCGAACCCGTCTAGGAGGCCTCAATAGAAAGAGCTCCAACAGGCCTCAGGGTTGGCAGGTGAGCTGATAGGGCCTTCGAAGATCAAGCGCGGAGGATCGAGGAGTGGGGACGTGGCGAGCACAAGACCAACCGGCGATGGGAAGTTCGCCCTATGCACGCAGGCGCGATTGCATGGTGTGATGCATGTCAGTACACATAGGCGCGCACGAATGAATGTAACACTGTTTGCGGAAGGTAGTCGAATGCTTGGACCGCGGATAAAGGGGGGCATTCTTGGTTATCCTCGCCCTAACGGTTCAGCCACACCCTGATGAATTGCGCCCTGAGGGAGGGAGGAGGACGGAGGAGGGAAGCAGGAGGAGGGGAACCCCATGCGGGAGGTAGGGAGGACGGAGAACGGAGGAGTAGGGGGCGGGGCGGGGAGTAGGGAAGATGAGGCGTGTTCGAAGCCTCCAGACAGCTCAGCCGCGCCCTGGTGCGTTGCCCGACGAGCACGCGCTGCCTCGCGTCAGCTCTGAGGTTGTCGCGCGCGCCGCCGCTCGAGCCCCTCGCCCGAGGCCCGCCAGTCGGAAGTCCACGTCGACGCCCCCCGCCGAAGAAGGTCCAATCAGACCCATGGCCCTCCGGGGCTTCACGAGAGGTACCGTCCTTGTCTATTGTTGTTTCTCGTCGCCGTATGTGAGACACATTTGGCTTTTTCAAATTGGAATTGGGGGCTGAGCTAGATGCCCGACGCCTTGCTTCTTGTCTGGCGATGTGTGCTTGAAGCCCAGCGACTGAAGCCAACAAATAAGAAGAAGAAGAAGAAGGAGGTGGTAGTCGAGGAAGGATTCGCATGAGAAAGTCGCCCCGCCCAGTCGTACATGCGTGGCTGTCTCTCGTCAAGACTTTGTCTCTCCATGGCAGCTCTGTCGACTTCATGTTCGAAGCCGTGCTCGGAAGCAGAGGCCGTTTCCTCGATGTGTTTCGACAGGTCACCAGCGGACAGATGAGTTCGTACGACCAGGCGAAGAGATTTTTCGCCGAGTATTTTGCTGGAGGAACCGAAAGGGGTTTGTTGTGCGAGCGGTATCTTGTTTGACGGTTATGTGTGCACGCGGTTTCTTGTTTGGGTGTCGTTGGCAGTCAGAGCAATGCCTCTAACATGTGTTTCGATGGTGCTAACAGTATTGCTTCTTAAGTGTGTTGTATATCCCGCGGAGACCTTGCGCCAATGGCACGCGTGTTTGTATGTCATGTGACTCCCCAGTGCTCTTTGGATTCGCTGCGCTTCCCAATCATCCTTCCGCCGAGTTGCATATGTTGAGGCAGGGCAAAAAACGGCTTACTGGAGGGAAGGCCCACTCGATAGCGAGCGGATCCGCATCCCGATGGCCGCCTTCGTCTCTGGAGCCGCGTTCTAGCCGCTTCTGTGCCTCTCCGTGCTTTCCACCCAGTGTAGTGAACCACATGTCGGAGTGCCAGGGGTACGGAAAGCAGCGCAGATACGAACGGCCTAAGAGAGCCAGATCTGAGCCCTCGCAAACGCTGAGCCCGCCCAGCCTCCGCTGCAGGAGCGCCATGCTCGGGAGCGGTCATGGAGGGCGCCAAGCTCCGCGGCTGCTCCGCAGTCTGCAGTTCGCCCGCCGAGACGCATAGTCGACAGTCCAGCCGGTGCAAACGGACTCGTCCAGGCTCCATCTCCATCCTCATCTCAGCCCCCACCATCCCACCACCCCGTTTCGGAATCTGCCCATCGAAACCCGAAGGAAATTGCCCACATCCCCATCCAGGGGGGTAAATCGACCAGTGGGGTCCACGCCGCGCCAATGGGGGTAGGGGTCGGTTAAACAAGGCTCATCCAGACCACAAGGTTCGATAGTTTGACGCGCTTGCGCATGGCGAAACACGCTAGTCTTAAGTAGGTTCGTGCCGTCTGGGTGCGGCTAAGGTGAGGGCGAGGGCGTTCAAGATTGGAGGGCCGCGACGGCCTCTGGAGGCCCCAGTGCGAAGACCGCTGGAAGTTGATCAGTCCACGCGGTGTTGGAAACCACAGCCCACGCCGTCATGGCAGGGACTTGCCATTCATTCCTGAGGCGACCTTGTAGGGGGTCAGTGTGGATGGGGGGAGCTGGCTTTGTCTGCACAGCGAGACTTTGACATTGCCATCTCGTGAAGGTGGTGCGGGCGGTTCATGAGCACTTCTGGATTGGGCAGCCCTGACGTGTGGTCATTGTCGCTGGTGTTAAGAGAACTCTTATCGAGCGCCTTATGTGCACTAGGTGCGCGCATGCTTCCCCAGAGCATACATGACCTAGGGTCGTATCAGTACATGATGCGTTGGAGTGGTTGGGCCACCATTTGGCACAAGCAACGTGTCGACTTAGTTGTACGGGCCAGCGAACCGCGAACACAATGTAGCTTCCATGCTATACAACGGCCCGCGTCAATGGTCACAGCAGGTCCAGTTGGTGCGATATGCGTTCTCAGTCAGACTGGAACTGCGTGGCACATTTAAATCTCTACAGTTGCGGCGCCATGATTCCAACAGACTTCGTTGCAGCATAATCGACGCTTCGCGTATCCCAAACTGCACATCCAGAGACGAGCCCTCGGCGAGCTGACGTGAGAAGAGCACTGAAAGAAAATGAGTGTTCTAAGAAGGGGCGCACTAGTCATACGAAAAAGAGACCGGCCCAAGCAGTTCTGGAAACATCGGCACACTGTGTCCTGTGGGAGTCTCTTCGAACCGTCGTTGGGCTCTCTTGGAGCACACGTTGCAGTCTTCGATTCATGCACACTAAGACCGCCTCATACTGAGACGTATTAATAGCGATCCATACCGAGTCATTCAGGCTCAGACTCACTAGCATTCAGACCCACTCATAGTCAGACTCACTAAAAGCCACTCATACCAAGATCCACCCATGTAAAGACTTGCTTGAATGCAGACCTGGTCGTACTCGGACCGACTCGTACTTAGCCGCTCAGACTCAAATTCACTCAAATTCAGACTCGATCACACCCAGTCGCCCATGCATGTTCTGGTCTCACTCACACTCAGACTCACTCACACTCAGACCCAATCATCGAGGAAATCGCCAAAGATGATCTGCACATATGGGGATCTCCACGCGGCAAGTGTTTTCAATGCGCGAGGCCAGCGCTCGACCACATCCCAGGGAGTGGCCTGTCATCCCAAGTCGTCCTTCGATGATCCGAGGGGGGGGGAGCAAAGCGGCCTCCCGGAGACCAGACATTACAATCGTTTCCCTCGTGGCGGTAGTCCTCCTCCTCCTCCTCCTCCTCCTCCTCCTCCTCCCTTTGCATGCCAACGCCCATCGGCGCGGCTGGGCCTCTTCAACGGCTCCAGGCTCCAGGGCGGGCGTGAGCGGCAAGTGAACTCGTATGGTATTGGAGCTCCTCCCTCCCCCGAACAACCTCCACCCTCCACCAACCCAGCACTCCGACCCTCAGCATCCAGCTTCCGACTCTCCACTTCCAACTCAGCACTCCGACCTCCAGCGTCTACCAGTTCGGCAAACACGGACAACATGCACTGAGGGCTCCGCCCCCCCGCGCAGGCCTTGAAGAGCCCCGCCCCCGGCGGTACCGCGCGCTCGCTCGCTCGCCCCCCTTGGAGGACGGAGGAGCGAGGGGGGGGGCGGGGGGAGCGGCGCGGATGCGGCATGGATTCCCCGACCGTGGAGAATGGCAAGGCGCCGGCGCCAGTTGACGTAACCCTCGAGAGAAGGGCGTGAACGGCCCCTTGGACGCCACTTGCCCGAGCGCTGGCTGCTGCCTTGGAAAGCCGAAGGGCCAGCGTGCCAAGCACGCCTGTCGACTGCCCTCGGGCCGCCTCCCAGGCCTTGACCGCTGTTCTCTCGTGTGGCTCCCCTGGGAAGCCGCTTTCGCGAGAGCCGGCTCCCCTGGAAAGCCGTCGGGCGAGGAGGAGCAGGACGAGCACGAGCCTTGAGCGCCCTCTGCGCAGGATTCACTGCGGCAACTGCTGCGGCCCCGGTCGACCTGGTGCGCTCGCGCGTCATGGACGACGCCAGAGGTTGGGGCTCCTTTGCATGGCCGCCGCCAGCGGGCGTCCGGTCAGTCCGTCAGCCAGAGGGGTCGTTGCCAGGAACGGCATCACGTGGCGGACTTGGGAGCGAGGTGCACGCACACGTGGCCGCACATCTTTCTAGCGCGCGGCCCTCGTGTGGCTGGGCGTGCCGTCCCTCCGCATGTATCCACCAAGGGCCCTCACGCGTTCTGCACGGAAACTAAACCGTGTGAAGTCTGCCATGGTGTTTGATAGGTTGCCTTAGACACCCGTGCGTTCTCCTCCATCACAGGGTAAGAATTACATGTTATGCACTCCGCCGCTGGTGGGAGCTCTTGTCATAGGGCGGCCAAAATCTCCACACGCCCATCTTCCACTCAGCACTGTAATACCCACAATAACTATTCTGTGCTACATACTGTTTCATCGCATGCTGGAACATGCAGCGGTGGGATTTGCGCATGCGTTTGGCATTGGGCACATCGAGTCTAGTTGCACTACTGCACATATCAGCCACCACGCTTGAAGAAGTCGAGTCTCAGGGAAAACACGCGCGCGAATTTCTCAACCAGTGAGTGTTGGGTGTATCGCGTCGACATGCATGCGGCCCTGGGTCTGTTTGAGAGCCATCTCGGGGCGTTCTTGAGACTTCTTGGAGACATGTTGGCGTGTCTTGAGGGGTCTGGGAGGCGTGCTTGAGGGTCTTGGGTCCGTCTGGGCGGTCTTGGGCCGTCTTGCAGCCGTCTTGGATGTAATGTGAGAGCCTCAGAAGCCATATTGGGACAATATATGGGGATATTAAAGATGTCTTGGGTTCTCTCAGGGGCCTCAGGAGCCCAGCTTGGAGCCATCCCAATCGTATTGATAGTAAGGGGAATAACGATGCTTGCCTCTCGGGATCCCTTCCCGGGGCCGTCTTGGAGCCTCTCGGGGCCAGCTGTGGCTTCTTGGCGCCATCCCAAAGCTAAGCGAGCCCGTAGAGCGGGAGTCACGGTGGACCAAGCCAGCACGCGAATTTCGCAATCAGTGAGTGCTCAAAGGTGCGGGCTGGACTGAGGGCTGTCGCAGGGCTCTCCGGTCAGTCTACTGCGCCAGCGAAACGCAGAAACCCAGAGAGATCCATTCAGTTCCCATCTCGCAACCGTGAATGGGTCGTGGACCACGTGGATGCATATTGGGAACATCTTCGAGGCCTTTGTATGGCCTCTTGGGGGCCTCGTCAGGGCCTCGTGGGGCCTCTGGGCGGTCTCCTGAGAGCCTGCTGGCTGTCCCGGGGGGCCTCTTGGGGTGGATAGTTCCACATGGAATTCCGTTGATGGTGTTTGATGCGCGCTGAGAGGGCGCGGTCTATGTTGCATGGTTGTCCAGCGTGCTGGCTAACCATGTAATTGCACGCGTACGCGTGCAAACCATAGATGTTATCGCAGAGCTCCAGTGCACTCGCGTGCCTGTGAGGGTGCCATGATGGGAGGTAATACCCGCGGTGGAGCCTACCAAAGCGCACTGGATTGTGCTTGGCAGACGGTGAAAGCCGAGGAGGGGCATTCTTTGATACGGAGGGCTTCAGGATGATGTCTGTCATGGTTCGCTTTGGACGCCAATGTTGACGCTCTTCTGCCGCCAACCACTGTCCGATTACCTGGGCACTGTAGAATTGCAATGTGAATGATTACAGAGGTTACCAGCGTGTCGTACGATCGACAGGCATGTAGTAAGGCAAGAGCAAGTTGGATTCCCGCTCCATGAATGCTCGCGAACGTGGCCGTCAATCAATCCAGGGTTGGCCATGCTCCGTGGCTCGATACATTGCCGAGCGAGTCTAGCCAAGGACTGTCGCGTCGAAGGACGTCACTGCCTGCACGCTTCGAATGCTGAGGATGCTAGGGCCACCCATCGCATACGTTGCAAGATCATCGATTGTAAAGCGCGCTCCCGCTTCCTATCGCTCCCAACAGATCCGTATGTGGGCACGGAGTCACGCTTTGTTTGAAAGGAGTACGTGCGCGAGCACAAAGCGGTTTGCCACGATTTTCGACCATCGCTGACCCAGTTCGAACAAAGCCTAATCACATTGTCTCGCGGGCTGTATAACAGTGGTGTCGCTGCACTCGCGTCCCAGGATTCTACCAGGAAGCTGGATGCACATGACGTGACTGGCCAGGTTACATGGTTGGCCTCTTGTCATTCCAGCGCTCCGCCCTCCTTGTCGTCGGGCACCCCAGCCCTCCGTACATGTATCCAGCGAGTGGCGTCTTCATGCCCCACATGTGAAACCAGCCTTGTTTGTTTCCAGCTCTCTGGAAGTGTGCGGTTCACGCTTAGTTGTTGTAGTGCCTGTTCTGACATTGACCATCCAGAGCAAGTTTGCTTCTGGTACAAGCCGTTTTCTGGCCAGTGTCGCTTCAGCAGTTCGGCGCAAATTTCTTCCACAATCGGATCGATTTACATGTCGTCCCAAGCCAGCGGTGTCCGCATCGCTTACCTTGAACCGTTCGCTGGCTCCGCTCTGCCGCTGCAGGCTGTGACGCTGCATGGTGACCTAGATGAAGCTCTGTCCCAGCGCGCTGGTGAAGTCGATGCTGTCGCAGCGGGAGAAGCCGAAGGTGACAGTGGCACGGTGACCTCCAGGACCTCATTGACCAGGACGCCGCATCACCGAGCTCCATATCCGTGGTGGATGCAAGTGTAAGACTAGCATGTTGTCTTGCGCCAACGACAACATCTGCGTTTGCAGAGGTCGGGGTGGTCTGAACGTGAGGGCCACAGTGGAGCATCGCGGGCACATCATCAGGTCAGCCCTGTCCCCCGATCCAGACGCAGAAATTGATAAACTGGACGTAGTGATGTCTTCTGGGGGTAACACCAATGACGCTCCTGAAAGGCTTTTCAACGTACCGCTGGTCTACGTACAGGAGAACGTCGAACCCCCTGATGCTGAATATGTTCTTCTTCGAGGGCACTGATGAGAGCACCGAGCAATGCCCTGGCGAGGGCCAGGTGATGGAGACCATTGGGAAAGACAGCGCGTCGCACTCGTTCGAAAATGCCTCTGCCCTTGTACCCACGAGCGCAAACAACGAATAACCTGGTCCTGGGCATGGCGTTCGAGGTTGTCGGTGAGGTGCACGTGGGCCGCGTCAGCGCCTTCGAGATCCCTGCCTGGCCAGAGATCGCCTGGGTCAGCCGCGACGAGATGGTGGATGTGCTTCCTTCGCAGGGGTTGCCTGCCGCCTCTCTCGAGAGGCGCGTGGAGGCGCAGCGTCGCAACGCCTCCGTGGCCAAGAGGACGGACGAGGCGCGAGAAACCACCGAGGCGGCGCAGGCGGCGCGACCCGTGCTCGGCTGGAGAGATCGGGACGATGGCAGGAGGTGCCGCTGCCGTTGCAGGTGGCTTCGTGCTCTGCCTTCACCGCCGGCGCGGGCTGCTTCGTTGGGGGCCCTTTCTTGATTAAGACCAGGGCGACGGCCACGGCTCTCGGGGCCTGGAACTGATGCGCGGGCGAGGACTCGAATAACGGCGCGGGGCAGGCCGGCTGTGCGCTGCGGTGAGGGGGCCGACGCGGCCGCCTGGTCCTCGCTGCCGATATTCTCGATCACTCGACGGAGCCTTCAGCGG